TTTCTTTCTTTCTTTCTTTCTTTCTTTCTTTCTTTCTTTCTTTCTTTCTTTCTTCTTTCCAAATGTCTTAAACCCTGTTCTGGAATTTCCACTGGGAGGCATTGAAGTAGAGATTTGCTTGGGGCTCACTCTCTTCAATTTGCCTGTCGGAATTAAGCCGGGCTCTTTTTAAACCATGGCTGGTTGGACAAGCCGTGGCTGAGTCCCGTCCCGGCTCTTCACGGTTCTTGGTGAGGCAAGGGCCAGGGAGGGCAGGACAGCAATGCAGAGTGGGAGGGGCTGTTTCACATCTGGGTGGGGCCTGGATATGCCTGGACTTCAGGGGGAGTAAAGTCTGGATCCCCCCTCTAAGCTGAGTCCCTTTTCAAAAGGATGCAAATAGAGTAATTTTTTAAAAGTTCAGTGAAGGGATTTTTTACAGAGTTAAAAACAATACAAATGTAAAGAAAAAAAGAAAAGTAAAGAAGTGTTACTTTTAATAAGTAAATAAGTAAGAAATAAAAGAAAAAGAAAAGAAAAAAGAGATATAAAGGAGCGGCTTCCGATCTCCTTTGCAGCAGTTATAAATGCATTTATATTTTATCCCCCCTCTCTCTAGTTACATCGTGGCTCCCTTCTTTCCATATTCTACCCTCTCGAATTGTCAGACCCATAAATCACAAGTCCATTGTTTTCCGTTTTCAGCAAAAAGTCCATAAAGGGTTTCCAGTCACTGACATGGATGCAGCTAGAGTAATTTTGTCTATTTATTCAGGAAATCACGTGGTCTGTAACTCTGCCTGGAGGGGCTCTGGGGGGGCACGTTTAGTCCCGCAAGTTCAGCTCCTGCGCTGAAGCATAAACCAAGATTTAGAAACCGCAGTGGTCTAACCCTCTTACTAAGCCAAAAGCCAGCTAAAACTGGGTTACCGCTTCGGATGACGTGGAAAGTCAGCGTTCTCCTTCCACAAACATTAGAAGCTTACGCCTTTAATGGAACCCCCTTTGTTTCCTGGCCTACGATGCCTCCCCTCACTTTAGTTTAAGGTTGCCCTGCTATAAACCCTTGAGACGCAGCCTCGCTGAACTCTGGGGGAGGGGGGTCTTACTTCTGAGTAAACCCAGCTAAGACTGCAATGCCCGCACCGGCTGGTTTGCATCTACATGGAAGGGAAGCCCGTTGACGCGTCTTCTGTCTTTCACAGCTACTCACAAGCCACCCCGGAAGCCTTCAGGCGGGACAGGTGAGAGGTTTGCTTTCTTAATCCTTTAATGCAGCTGTGGGTGCTCTGCAACTCCAACTCCCATCACTCCCAGCCACCATGACCATCGGCTTTAAGCCAAGCTGGGGCAGTTGGCTGTTGTTATTCTTTCTTGCCAAACAGCCATCAAGGAAGTTGCAAATAGAGGCTGACAAGCCCGGTCTCATTTGGGAAACCCTCAGTTGTTATCTTGGGTTATTCCTCTAGGCCAGTGTTTCTCAAACTTGGCAACTTTAAGATGGGTGGACTTCAACTCCCAGAATTCCTGGGGATTCTGACATCCTCTGGCTAGGGAATTCTGGGAGTTGAAGTCCAGACATCTTAAAGGCGCCACGTTTGAGAAACACTGCTAGGCTTTCCTCAAAATTGATGGAGTGCATGCTTCTTTCTCTCCAGCTGCCCATACCATGCACCTAAAATACACAACTTTTTAGAGTGGCGCTCCATCAAATACAAGCTGATCATTACCCCTTTCCTAGCCAGGAATCACTTTGGCATGCTCTGGGCTCTCCAGTTGGAGCATGAGGATGGAAGATGCAACAGACCCTATTCTGATGGGCTCTTTCCTGGAAAACATGAAAAAAATTAACCTTTGTCTTTTAATGGAAAATTGGCCTTTGCAACACTGGCGGTGGCCTACCTGAGAGGGCTGTTGGGAGGATAAAATGGGACATAGCAGTGGCACCCACAGGACTGCCCTGCAGACTTTGCCCCTTTGGGGCATGTGAATGATGTTGTGGCGCACAAGGGAAAAAAAGGGGGGGGGTTGCATCATGGAGCAGTGAAGGGGTCCGGTGTTCCCCTTCAGACCTGCAGCAGGCATCCCTTTTCACGGCATCCCTCGATTTCTTGAGCAGGTGAACTCGATCTGTCGGATTTCTTTGATTCCCCGCCGGAGAGAACCACCAAGCCTGCGAAGGCCACCACCGGTCCTTATCCAAGGAAACCAGGTGAGTGAGTCTCGGCTCCTGTTTCTGGCAGTCACACCCTTGGCCCTCCTCCCCTGAAGCCCTGGGGGACTCCAAAACCTGCTGTGAATGGGAAATACAACTTTGATGGCAAAGAATTTGTTCATTTGTTCATTTGTTCATTTGTTCATTTGTTCATTTGTTCATTCGTTCATTCATTCATTCATTCATTCATTCATTCATTCCTACTTTCAGTTTACACTGAATACAAGCGGGTTATTTATTTGTGGAATAGATTTGGATGTTGCTGTTCATTGTCAAAACAACAAGGATGACAACAAACCAGCTTCCAAACAAGCCCAATAAAGTCAGAAGGAAAAAGAACCTATTAAGGAATCCCAGATGTTAGGGGAGGTGATGGTTGGGGAAAGGTTCATGGAAAAAGGTGCATTTTTAAAAGATCCCTAAAACCCAAGTAGGATTGGATTTGGTTGGAACTTGGATGGGAGACCACCAGGTGATCCTAGGCAGGCGGCTAGAATGGGAGGTTAACCAATATCCTGGAAAAAAGGGGCATCAGCCTCTTTGTTTTCCCTAATGTGGGCTAGGCGTTGAGAAGGTTTAACCACAGCTCTCAAAAGCTGCAACCTGACATATTTGGAAGGCGACTGGGGTAATGTAATCGCTGGGCATCCTGGCTTCTTGGGCTGAAGGGCACGTGTTCTCCTATCTGCAGATGATGGCCGCTGGAATGTACCCCATACCACCACCACCAAGCAGCCCAAAACTACCAAGCCGCCCCCCAAAAAGACTCCAGGTAATTTTTAACCGCTATTAGACATCGAAGGCGAATGCAGGGGGGTTGCAGTGTTGCTAGCCTGTTGTGAGCGCACCCACAAAATGACTGCTGTGTGGAAGGTTTCGCCATTCCCTCAGGGGTGCCAGGACAGGGGTGGCTGGCATAAAATGCTCCAGCCCTTAAGGATGCTTATCACGGATGTTTTTTTCTGGACAGATCAGTTTGTCTTTTAGGACATTAGAACGCGTAAGCCGTGCCCTGCTGGGTCGGCCCCCTGGGCCACCTAGTCCAGCAGCCTGTTCTCCCAGTGGCCAACCAACTGCCCAAGGAAGCCCACGGGTCTCCCAGCAGGTGGCCTTCAGAGTCCCACTGCCACCAAGGCTGATAGCCCTTGATCCCCAGGACTTCCACGAATCGGTACAACCCTTTTTGGAAGCCAGCCTGGCTGGTAGCCAGCATCGTATCTCGGGGTAGCAAATTCCAAAGCTGAATTACGCATTCTGTAAAAACAATGTTTCCTTTAGTCTGTGGTGATTTCTTCCAGGATTCAACCACATATCACCTCTTGAGTGATCCTCACAAACCTGGAGGGGCATGGATCTAGTCAATGGGTGGCCATTCCAAGGATCCTGTCCACTTCCTCAGGAGCCACAGGCTCAAACTCAAATGAACATAAGCTGTGCCCTGCCAGATGGCGCTCACCCTCGGCCCATCTAGTCCAGCAGTCTGTTCTCACCCCAGTCTGTTCTCACTCAACCAGCTGCCCAAGGAAGTCCACCAGTCCCCCAACAGATGGCCTTCAGAGTCACACTTCAGCAAGGACGTTCAAGTTCAGCTTGGGAATAGCCCTTGATCCCCAGGACTTCCATGAATCAGTCCAACCCTTTTTGGAAGCCAGCCTAGCTGGTAGCAAGCACTGCATAGGTAGTGAGTTTCAACATTTGGTGATGCGTTGTGTAAAAAGCTCCACAGTGCAGCCCCTGCGTTTATCCAAGAATGTTAGGTCCAGATTTTGTTTCTCTAGATTTGAGATCCTGTCCTAAGAATGCCTGTGTGGGCAGCTTTTGGCTGAATGTCAGGTGCACAGACAAAGGTTACTTTCTGGGTGAAAGGAAAAAGGGGGGTTTCCATTTACTCTTCCCTAGTTATTATACTTCTGTGCCCTCTAATAGCCAAAGCTCTTCCAGGAGCAGTTTACAAAGCAGAGCTTATGACAACCCCCCCTCCAAATCAAACAAAAGTCAGCGTAAAACCAGAATGAAAATAATTACAAAACGAAACCCAAGCGAAACTTACACCATTAGAAATCTGAAAAAGCAAAAAAAAAAAATGCTACCTTGGAAATGCAGAGGACTGAAGGTAGGGATGAAGAACAGGAGCTTGATTTAGTATTGAAAGAGGGTGGTGCAGGGCCCAGGCAAGTTGTTCAGGGGCGTCCCCACTTAAAATGTTTTCTCCTTAGTTTTTCTCTCTGCCTTCTCTTGTTTGGCAGGGCTAAGTAGGAGATCTCTGAA